CTGAAGTGCAGTAATTTGTGTTATATCTTGTCTCTTTCACGCGGTGAAATGTGCTAATGCTTTCCCATTAAAATAATTATAAACCTGAAAAAAGAATCTTAAAATTTTGATGGATAGAAACTAAAAAACTTAAAGAATAACATCCCTTATACACGTAAAGAGCTGAAACAGCCCTAAGAACAATCAAATAAGCAAAAACCCGAAAATGAAAAAAAAATAAAAAAATTAAAAAACTGGAAAGGTAAATCTCGGCGCTCTGCTGGATATTTTGGCACAAGTTTTCTTCCAAAACTGAAAAAACTGCTATGTATGATGTGTAATTCTCTTTTACCACTTCCTTTTAACTTTTAACCTAAATTGTACTTTTCCTATTTTCTCCTTTCGAATCTTGAAGGTAGAATGTCCAAGTATCTGCATTTGGAAGATGGAAAGCCTTACCACACAAGTTCAGTTTATGCATCTGCTATACACTCCATCAGCCTCCCTTTCAGAATGCAACCACTCGGGCCCAGTGCACAATTTAGCTGCACGTCTGGTGCAGTGGACATAAACGAGCTTGTACAAATGTTAACCAGTGGCGCCCGGCAGAATATTGTTTCTTCTCTGGAAGTTTCTATGCCGGCTCCCGCTTTTTCAGGTAATAAAGTTCCCCTTTTCCTGCCGAATTTAGCTGCACTTTTAAAATATATTAATTTAACTTCGAAAATCAGGTATGCAATCCCAGCAAAGTTTGTTGGAGAATTTGCAGCCACTAAATCCAGAAATAGTAGCAGATGTTGAAGACATGCATGCTTTGGAGGCTATGGTTGTACATGGAGCCTTTGCATCTGGTAATGTTCATTTATCGATACTTATGTATGAACATTGTGCATGTTAATTTAATTGATCTATTTAACAAATGCATGTAATAATCTTGTCTTGTATCGAATAGCGAAAGCATAAGATCAAATACTAGTTATGGAAAATTTTCTCGAAGACTTTAGTTTAAGAGTTCCCAATAAAATAATTGAACTTGATGCACTCTACTCGATTGAATTGGAATTCAAAGGAAGGAGGGCGTGGAGCTTAGCTCCCCCCGCCCAATGAGAATGGATAAGAGGCTTTTAGTCAACTTTCTTCTTTTTCATCAAATTAATCTAAGGACTGATTAGAGAAGGATAAATACTTTTGTCTTTTAAAACTTCGCAACCTGATCTGTATTCCTTGAATAAATGCTCTAAATATTCGTATTAACAGTGAGCCATCGGGCTAATTGCTTTTTTTTTTCTTCTTCTTGATTTTTTTTTTTTGCTTATTCAATCTCAGGATCCA